TGTTATATGCAAACAATGAATCATGGAACACTACATCAAAAACTAATGATGTAATGTATGGTGATTAACATAACATAATAAAATTTAAAAAATAACATTTGTGCTTTAATTTATAATTTTGTTGTATTTAACCACATAATTTCTCTTCATGTAGCCAACACATGGAAGATATTCTATACAATATAAAGAGAGCATTTATCCTTAAAGCAAAATGTGGTTTGTCACTATTTTGTATAGTAGATCTCTAAGGTTTATTCATCTTGCATTACTAAAAGTTTGTACCCTCGGATTAACACCTCTCCATTTCTCCCTCCCCCATCCCCTGGCAACCACTATTCTATTCTGTGCTTCTTTGAGTTTGACTATTTAGATTTCTCTTATAAGTGGTACTATGTAGTATTTGTCCTTCTGTGTCAGGCTTACTTCACTTTGCATCATGTCTGCCAAATTCTTCCAGGTTATCACAAATGGCAGGAATTCTTTCTTTTTTGAGCCTGAATAATATTCCATTGTATGTATATACCACACTTTCCTTATCCATTCATCTGTCAGTGGACAAATGGCTATTATAAATAATGCTGCAGTGAACATGGGAGTGCTGGTATCTCTTTGAGATTCTGATTTCAACTTCTCTGAATAAATACTCAGGAGTGGGGTTGGTGGATCACATGGTAATTCTATTTTTAATTTTTTGAGGAACCTCTGTACTTTTTTCCATAGTGGCTGCAGCAATGTACATTCCCACCAACACTGTACAAGGAATTCTCTTTACAGCATCCTCACAAACACTTTTTTTTTTTATAATAGCCATCCTAACAAGTGTGAGGTGACTTCACATGATGGTTTTCATATGCATTTCCCTGATGATTAGTGACATTGGGCACATTTTCATATAATTCTTGTCCATTTGTAAGTCATTTGGGGGGAAACATCTATTCAAGTCTTTTGCCTATTTTTTTAATCAGGTTATTTGGGGTTTTGCTATTGAATTGTAGGAGTTCCTCATATATTTTGGATTTATTAGATATATGTTTGCAAGTATTTTTTCCATTACATAAGGGGCCTTTCATTTTGTTGATGGTTTCCTTTGTTGTACAGAAGCTTTTTTTAGTTTCATGTAGCTCTAATTGTTTATTTTTGCTTTCGTTGAGTGTGCTTTCGCTTTCATATCCAAGAAATCATTGAAGACCAATGTCAAGAAGATTTTCTCTATGTATTCTTCTGGTAGTGTTATAGTTTCAGAACTTAAGGCTGAACTGTATGCTTAAAAATTTAAGAGGGTATGTTATATGTTCTTATAAAAAATAATAATAATACTAGGGAGATAGGAGGAAACTTTTGGAAGTGATGGATATATTTATGGCATAGATTGTGGCAATGATTCCACGGGTATATACTTAATACCAAACTCATCAGGTTGTTTACATTAAGTATGCACAGCCTTTTGTATGTCAATCATACCTCAAAAAAGTGGTTTTAAAAAATGAACATAGTTTGGGGCACCTGGGTGTCTCAGTTGGTTAAGTTTCCAACTCTTAATTTCAGCTCAGACCATGATCTCAGGGTCTTGAGATCAAGCCCTCTGTCAGCTCCGTGCTCAGCATGAAGTGGGCTTAAGATTCTCTTTCTCCCTCTCCCTCTATTTCTCCCCACCACTCACACACACTGTCTCTATCTCAAATAAATAAATAAATAAATAAATAAATAAATAAATAAATAAATAAATAAAATCTTAAAAAAAAGAATGTAGTTTATTGAATTTTCAATTAACCAAAAGATAAAAAAAAAAAAGATTTAGACTAACAAATCTTTCTTCAATATCTCTTCCTCACTTCTCATTCCTGTTTTTTTTTTTTTAGATCACAGACTATGTCTCGAAGACTACAGGAAAATCAAAAAATGTATTTTCATGCTGAATGTAAACAATCATGTCAGTAGCAGAATTGGCATTACAATGCCCTACTATATTTTCAAGGCTATGCAAACATCTATCATGTGTCCTTCCCTTCCTCAAAAAGGATTTTAACCCAAAAAGGATTATGAACAAGAAGAGTCATTAAAAGAAAGGCCATGTATATAGATCCTAAAGAACAAATATTTCAGGCATCTCAAGCTCTTCTTTAGTTTGATAGGGATATACTGAAATGAATTGGCTTTCAGAGCTCTAATTAAAATTATGAAAAATTCCAAGGATTAGAGATTACATATTTGGATTCCAAAAATCCTCTTTGAATAGTGATTCACAAGAGCATGGAATCGTGCTTTAAAATTAGCAAGCAGAAATGCCTATTTCCATGGCTTTAAACAATAGTATTACTCAATATTAGTAAGGCCAATAATTATTATCAGAATATAAAGCATTTACTGATGAGAATTATGTGCACTTTAAACAAGAATTAGAACTTTTCATATGTTAATTTTATAAACCATCTGTGAATATATTTGATGAAAAACACATCACAGTGATAAGGGTTTTGTTTGTTCTTGTTATTAAAGAAGTTATATTTAATTGGTTTTTGTGATGGTTCTACAATACAGTAAAAATTACGTAAAGGTGAAGAAACACACTTTGTCATAGGATGGCTCATTAGCCATGTAAAACAAAATAAGGGGAGAAGTAAACAGAAACAATAATTTTTAAAAAGTGTTTGATCATATTTTAATATAATCTAAAATCTAGATTTCTTTGGACCGTTATAGAAACATGTTTATTACAGAAATGATTGCAAATAGCCTTTTGAAAATAAGAAGCTTGGGGCGCCTGGGTGGCTCAGTTGTTAAGCATCTGCCTTCGGCTCAGGTCATGATCTCAGGATCCTGGGATCGAGCCCCACATCAGGCTCCTGCTCAGCAGGAAGCCTGCTTCTCCCTCTCCCACTGCCCCTGCTTGTGTTCCCTCTCTCACTGTCTCTCTCTGTATTAAATAAATAAAATCTTTAAAAAAAAAAAAAAGAAAAGAAGAAGCCACATTGAAGATAGAAACAAAGCTGAAAGTCGAAGTTTCTGATATTTAAGAGTCTGATTTATTAAAGATCAAGGTGCGTTCTATATATCTAAGCTGATAAATATCTCATAGCTTGTCATAAATGAGGAAAAATCTCTTCAAATATCTAATTAGTGTTTGCATCACAGACACTAAAAATTGAGAGAAATATCTGAAGAAACATCAAATTGTCATTCAGTAGCAGTATAACTATATAACATAACTTTTTCATATTGAAGAATTTATATTTCACACTGAAATTCTGAAAAGTGAAACTAAAGTTATGGGATTTCAAACTATTCTTAAACCAGCAGTAAGGTGTCAAATGCTGAAAAGTGCACTAGAATAGCAGTCAGGAGATCTAGGTTGTAATGATAATTCTACAAACTTTTAACCTCAGGCAAGTCATTTAATTAACATTGGATTTGGTTATTAATTTGTCAAATGAGAGGTTAGATCTCATGCTCTAGGAAATCCCATATCAGTTAAATATCTATGAACTTGATAAATTAATAGTAATCACAGGTATCAATATCTATTTTCTATGAAATGTCTATTTTGTGTCAAGTGATAAACCAGACTCTTTGCATGGAATAACAATCTTCACAGTAGAAATATCTTCATTTCAGAGATTTGGAAACAGAGACTCAGGGAAAGCAACTTGCCCAACAGACAAATAATAAATGCAGGAGCTGGGATTCCAGCTGATCTCTGTCTGTCTTCCTGCCCTCGTGCCAACTCGATCATACATTCTGATTTTTATCCAACTGATGACAGAATATTCAATCATTCAAGCCGCATGACAAAACTTAAAATAATTGCTCAACTATCACATAATGGCATTTAAAAACTTCTATTTGAACCATAACCATCAATGATTCAATAAAGAAGTTTTTATTACTTACAGCTGTTCCAAGGATATGAGTCCTTTAAATGTTTGCTTATCTAGGGCATGAATTTCATTCTTGTACAGATACCTGAAAAACATATAAAATCCTATTAAGTTATAAATTTGCATAGATACAACCTTTCTTATATCAGGAATTTTTAACCTGCAGTGTGGCTCTAAAGAGATTTAGAATGTTAATAGATTCCCTAAAATTATATGGAGATTTTTATTTCATTTGAATATATTCAAGTATCTGGGTAAGACAGTTCCAAGGCTCTCATCAGATTCTCAAAGAAATCCTTGATGCAAAATATTAAGAATCACTGCCTTAACCTCTAAAACTTAGATTGTAGAAAAATTCTAATGAGGTCACATGTACTGGGTAGCAACTTCTCTAAGAAAAAGAAAAGTTTGACTACAACAATTTTTTCAAATTCATTCTATCATACAGAATATATTGAACTAGGAGTTACATTTGCAAAGCTGGCAAATATCATAAGATTCATCTGAAGGGGGATAAACACATATTAACAGATCCACAAGATGTATTTTGGTTCTCCCATGGTTACTGCTGAAAACCTACAGGAAAGGATACTGTTAATGGATTTAGAAATATGATAATGTAACTAATCTGGCCAAAAGATTTGATGAAAACAATTTCCATAACATATGAGCACTATGTCTTTTTTTCTTCAACTATGGGATGGCAAAGTTATTTCATTTTTAAATCTCAGTGTGAATATTTGGTGAATGTCATGAAAGTGAAACCTACGTCTTTTCTACTTGTGCCTCTGGGGATCTGAAGCAATCAGAATTTCTGAAACTTTCTACCAAGTTCCTCTGGATTGCACCTTTGCATAAGCTAGAGCTCACAGTGATTTTTTTAAACATTTTTTATTTATTTATTTAACAGAGAGAGACGGTGAAAGAGGAACACAAGCAGGGGGAGTGGGAAGGGGAGAAGCAGGCTTCCCGCTGAGCAGGGAGCCCGACATGGGACTCAATCCCAGGACTCTGGGATCATGACCTGAGCTGAAGGCAGATGCTTAACAACTGAGCCACCAGGTACCCCCTCACAGTGATTTTGAATGCTTCAGGATCACCTGGTGGTGTGTTAAAAACACTGACTCCTGAGCTTACACCCAAACCTCCTCAATCCAATTCTCTTGGGGTGAGGTCTAGGAAACTGCATGTTTATCAAGTTTCCCAGTTGATTTTGAAGCAATCTCTCAGCGGATGACTTAAAAACCATAGACACCATAGAAATCACAATTCTAGTTGAAAATGAAAAAGAGTGCTTTTCCAAAGTATGCTTAGTAAAGTTTTGGAAATTCCAAATTACTTTCTCTTCCCACAGATTAGAACTTCTGTTAAGTTTTGCAGAGCAGTAATAGTAACTGGTAGAGATATATGCCTAACTGGAGATATTTCCTTAGCATTACTTGATACTATGGAAGATCTTGATTTGACCTAAAATCTCAGAAATACAGCTATGTGTTAGGATGGCAAGAAAAAAAAATTCTAGAACCATGTTTCTTCAACTAGCTCATAAGGAGTATTGAGCTGTGGTCTCAAAAAGCACCACTGGTTCTCAACTGTGGTTGTGATGTGGGAAACAAAGGCAGAAGAAAAAAAATCTTACTACTTAACAGCCCATTGACAAGTCCTTGGAACAGGCAGAGTGACATTCCTCTAGGAACTCAGTTGCCTTGATGTTAATACTTTGCTAAGGGCAAAAGGCAATCTTAGCCTGACCCCCAGGATTCTGTAAGTCTTCCATAACATATGAAAATTCCTTTGGAAACTTCTTTTATCTTTATCCCCCAAGATACATGTTGGCAATCATCCTCCAAGCATATGACCCACCGATATACATCTGAAGAGTCTCATGACTGAGTTTTTACTAAACAGTAATAAATGACCTTTTTCTAACAATAGCTAGCCCCCTAAGGATCCTGGAAACCTTGTTTCCAAAATATCTGGGAGGTTTATGCTATCCCTAACCCCTTCCAACTTGAAAGTATATAATGGGTCACTCCTCATGACCCGGGTGCAACTCTTTGCCCATGGGTCCTTTCCCCATGCTTTAATAAAACCACCTTTTTGTACCAAAGATGTCTCAAGAATTCTTTCTTGGCCATTGGCTTCGAACCCTAACATCTTTCCTACATCAACTGTGTGTGAATCAGTACATAGGTATATGAATCAATATTTCCAAGACATGATTTTGAGCTCTAATCAGGCCTTATACTGATGGAAGGGATACTGCCTCCACAAACTCCAATTTAATAGTGGGTCTGGCATGTGGAATAAGCATCTGGATTCTTTAAAACTCCACAGAAGATAATAATATGCAGAAAATTTTAAAACCTCTATTCCAGGGGTATAGACCAGGTAAAAAGTATTTTGTAAATTTATTCCAGAGGATTCAGATACACCTCCCTGATAAGGACCCTCAGACTATCAGAATGTCAAAGAACCACATTACTTTTCAGGTATCATATCATGAGGCATAAAAAAAAATTGATGCAATTTCTGTAGAGATGTGTATAAAGGCTTAAATAGTTTTTTTTATTATTATCATATTTAAATAATGATGAGCTGCTTCATAAAAATTAAACTAAATTATCAAATATTCATTGAGGAATCTCAAAACTGAAAACCACCTATAAAATTTTACATCATATATACAGATTCATTTTAAATGTTTTATTTATTTATTT